CCTTTTTTTTCTTTGACAGAAAACTTTACGGAGAAATAGACTGAGATACGTTGATAGTGTTTGTTTGTGCAGTGACTTATCATAGTAGTTTATCATATACGAATCATTTTTCATTTATAAATATTCATTTCTGTAAATAAATTTGTATATATTTTTCTGTTCTGAGTTGTTGGTTGTTTTAGATAGCAATTGTGGTCGGCCTGGTATCCCAGCGTAGTCCCTATTGTGACAATTAGTTTAATTCACAAGGTGATGCAATGTCAAAATTTTGCCTTGGTTATGGTTTTGTGTTGCGCACATCACACATTTTTCTTCTTGATCTGAGGCTTATATGTTTGGGATTGAATTAAGACAAGCAAGATCGACATTCTGCCCGTGGGCATGTGGTGTTAGTCATTTTAACTCTCCTGAGTACAAAATGCTCAGGCTTTTGTGATTGCAATGTGTCTATTGTTTGCTGTACCTTTTAACAATTTTTATTATATACAAAACATCCATTGTAAACCAATTAATTGATTTTGACAACATTTTACAGGAATGATACTAAGGAAGTCGTCTACAAAAGTAATATAAATGGTTCTAGGTTGATGCACAGGAGCTAAACATAGACTTTAAAAATGATATATTTACAATGCCTCTATATTTACAAACTATCATTCCAAGGGCTTAGATATATTTGTTATGAAGAATCGCATTGTGGTCCTCTACAAAATTGTTATTAAATATGCATCTTAGGTAAAAAAATCCCAACCCTAGAGAGTTAACATAGCCTTATATGGGAAAATACATTTAGGGCTTCTTTTATAAACTTCAAATCTCTGAGCTCTAATTTTAGCATATAGCACTGCCAATCAGACCTTGCAAAAGATGTATACTCCTGAGGTCGAAAATGGCCAAGGCCCGGGTTTCACTTAAATTATAAAAGGTTTACATTTAACTCTTATATTTGGAATTTGCAATGCCAAGAGCTAAGATATTTGGCGAGTTTTAACCTAGTGTGCATCTAGAAAAGCTGTATATTTCATAACCCTGGGGTCAAAAATGACTCTGCATTTAAATTGGGTCATTTAATGCATAGTCTTATATAAAAAATTTTTCTCAACAAACTTCTTCTCTAAAATATACAATGCCTAGAGCTTAGATATCTTTGATTATGCCTTAATTTTTCGTCCTCTTCGACAGTTATATAGACCATGCTTTTGAGGTCAAAACTTGTCTATCCCTTGGAATCACATAGTATATTTAGACTTTTATATTAGGAAAATACATTAAAATATTGACAAAAAGAAAAAACGTCTCAGACCGCAATTTTAAAAATGTTCAAGGCTTCTTTCGGTTAATTGCAAGATAGTGTCCAAGTCCGCTAGCCCCGAATTAAGTAGAATAAAGCATCCACAGATATGTTCAAACGGCGATTATCATGGAACTTTCAATGAGACATGATTTGTATCATTCTATGAAAAGCGGCTTATGGTCCCTAAGGAAAAATGTTTGTTTCCTAAACGAGAAGTAAATGGACAGAATTATACAAAATGGAGGTTCAAAGGGTAACAACGGTTATGAAAGTTGTAAATCACAGAAAAGACGTCAAAAGACAATTTTAAAAACAAGGAAACATATCCTGAGGCAGATTCAAAGTACTCCAGTAGCTATATTGGAACCAGCCATCCAGAAATGAGATCAAATAAAGAAAATACACGTAAGCGCACCACAAACATGCACACATAACAATAATATCTCGACGAACGATCTTCCTTTAAAACAACCACAATGCCAATAGCTTTGATATTCGGCATCTAGCATTATTTTGTGGTCCTCTGCAAATGTTGTATAAATCTTGCCCTGGGATCAAAATTGAACCCACAACTAGGGTTACTTGATTGTCCTGGCCATTTTGGTACAAAAGAAGACTATAGAAATGGACACAGTCTGTCAGTCTCTATGTCCGCTCCTCCACGCAGGGATAGGCGACCATCGAACTGGAACCAGAAACATAAAACAAATTGATTTTTTAACATAAGAATAACGGTATTTTATTAAAAAAACAACAGAAGGAATTTCTCTTTTAGCTCAATTCGGTGTTAAAGATCAACATTGCCGAATGAAGTCCAGGTCCATACCTCAAACTTTGAAATAAGTATGCACTTCATGTAAAACTTCCCATAGGTGAGGACATTTGTGTCTCTGTTTATAATTCTTTTGTCAGTAAAGACATTATCGGATTACATTTGTGACGTATGTCAATATAATTTATTTAAAGCCATTTTCCTTACTGAAGCAAATGGTCTGTTTTCATGGACATGCTGTTTTAAGTACTTTTAAAACTATGAGTCAAGGTTGATATATGTTACCTTATAGATAGTCTTTGTATTAAACTGTACAAAATTATGTAACTGGATATTGTATGTTGTAAATATCAGTAATTAGAGCTAAAAGTAGGTTTTAGAAATAAAACCTGAAGATAAATCTTACTGTCTGAAACTGCGGGCCTAGATATCAGACATTTGGTGTGATCCAACGTCTTTTGGATCTCTTCCTTGAACTATTTAACAAATTTTGCCATTAGACATACAATTTTAAATATTTAGGGAAAATATGGAGACAGCGTAACTCCGCGCAAGCATCAACCACAGCAAAGTTACATGAAAATTGCAGACTCGGTTTGATTGACTTCATACATGAGGGCTAACGAAAATGTGCAACATCCCTCATGCCCCCTAGCACCGGCTTGAACGATACTCAATTTTCAACTCTTAAAAGTGCTGGAATCAATGATTGCGAAGGACTAGAAAAATCCTTTTCAAGATACTTTTCTCTTAGTTTTTAAAAATTTAATGTTAAAGTAGCATAGCATGATGCTCTTCTATATTTTTGTTTAGATCATTATCATAAGTTGAGCTTGGGCTTGTTAGGATCTAAACAGACTTACGTCAAGTAAGCTGTTTATTTTTAGAATGATACCTGTTCATATTTACCTTGTATTCATTGATTAGTACATTAATTTGCTGATTCTTTTACTGATGTATTTCCTTCTACAGAATTAATTCACTAATATCTACTTGTTCACTTGTAGAATAATGAAAGGTTTTTATTAAAGGCTATAGCCACTGATTTAAGTTGACCTTGATTAATGTCTAATGATTAAATCAATTGTCCTTTTAATTACAGGAGGAGCATCGTTCAGGAGACTGGAATACGTTTAATGCTACAACAAAGGGTTTAACTAATGTAAGTATTATAATTAAATTTCAGATTGCTTATATAAGTAAAGCTTCAAAACTTAAAAAACATCTTAGTGCCGTAGAAGATTTGAACAAACAGTAATAATTAGAAAACTTTTAAAAGACATCGATCTGCACATGTGTGGTAGTTTTAACTTGCATAGTAAATATAGAAATTAACATATTGCAAATACAATGTAAAATATAAACTTTAAAGAAAGTTCTGTAAAGACAGATAATATAACATTTCAACATAATTATCACTACAGATGTATACATTATCATTGTGAAAAATAGTATTGTCTATTATATATAGATGAGCTAATATAGCTTATATCTTATCTTAATTCTTGGTGTTTGTGTTCATTATTTTCCCAGTATAAATATACTGCTAGTTTCTTTGTGTAATTGACACGTTTGTCCAACTTGGCACATACATGTTTTAATTTCAAAGGACAACTGTTATTCTTTATTTCATAATGTAGTTGATATATGATAAATATAAAATTGTCGAATCAAAATATTTTATCTTTTACATTTGTAAATAATTTTGTTTTTAAATCTTTTTTATTTGAATGTAGTCTTCCATTGTCAAGGACATTCTTAAAAAGTTGAAAAGTTAGTGTGCCTCCAAGTGTTCTGATCTCATTTCCAGAATAATAATAAGGCTACAGAATCTATTTAATGATTTCTGATTGTTTACTAATAGAATAATTATAGGTTTGTATTATGTATTACAGTCACTGATTCAAGTTGACTGATTTATTTCTTATGATTTAATCAATCTTCCTTTTAATGACAGGATGACCGACAGCAGTATTGTTCAAAAAACAAAAATGGGTTTGATGCTATATGTGAAGCAAAGGTTTCAACTAATGTAAGTGTTATAAAGTAATTTCAAATAATATTTATTTGTAAAGTTTAATAACTTGAAAAGCATCTAAATGCTAGGAGATTAAACGACAGCAATATGAAGAAACAATTCACAGACATCGACCTGCACTTGTGTGATAATTTTAACTTGCAAAGTATATTTGGAAATTAACATTTCGAAATAAAACGTAAAATATAAACTATACAGAAATTTTTGTAAAGAAAGATAATATTACGTTTCAAAATAATTATCACTATGGATGAATACATCATCATTGTGAAAAATAATATTGTCTATAAATATAGATGAGCATAATATAGATGAGCTAATAAAGCTTCTATCTTATATTAATTCTTAGTGTTTGTGTTCTTTATTTTTTAAATTAAAATATACTGCTTGTTTCTGTGTGTGATTGACATATTTTTCTAACTTGACACAAACATCTTCCAATTTCTATTTTTATGATTGATATATGACAAATATAAAAATGTTGAATCAAAATATTTTATCTTTAACATTTGTATATATTTAAGAAATTATTTGCTCATGCTGATCCTCCAGCTCTAAAAACAAAAAGTAAGAAAAAAGCCAGGTTTTTTGGATGTGGTCTTCCATTGCCAAAGATATTCTCAAAAAGGTTTAAAAGCAAGGGTGCATCCAAGTGTTCTGATCTTACTACTAGACCAGGTGAGATTTTCTTTTCATATGAATATTCGTAAAAGGTATGAAATCAGTTTATTTGCATAAATAAAATGAGATTACAGTCGTTGATAATTTTGTTGACTGTGCATTATAACAGCCATGCAGTCTTCCCAAAACAGGCTCAATCAAACTGAGCCATCAACATTTTCAGTTTTGATGTTAGGACTTTATATTATTTGATTTCATTTCACTCTATCTTTTCACACTGGGTTATTCAGCTTTAGGTTTTTGGATATTGAGACCCTTAAACTCTTGCCATTTTTATTATCTTAAATGGACATGGGTAATGTTCAATTTTTTACAAATCCATTTATAATTTCAAAAAGAAATTCAAAATAATCTTTAATTGAATAACGCAAAGTGCAGACCATACTCAGCAGGCATAAAAACCCGACAAATCGTGATCTGCGTAAATTTAGTTTCCGTAAGCAGGTTAAATGTAAGTATTTCAGTGGCCTGTGCCATATTCCAAACATGGTCAGTCAATAGAATACAAATTCAGCTTAATTAATGTTTAAAAAAATCAACATTATCATTCAAATCCAGTATTTTGTTCTGTTTTTACTTTTATGATTGTTTTTATATGCGCGAAAGAATTTCGGGCATATTGTGTTATACTCTCTGGCGTCCGTCTGTCCGTCCGTCCGTCCGTTAGCAATTTGTTTCCGGAGCATAACTTAAGTTTTATTCAAACTTTATAGGATGATTGTCCATATTGGGTAAAAGACCCCTATTGATTTTGGGGTCACTAGGTCAAAGGTCAAGGTCACTATGACATTAAAACTGAAAACAGTTTCCGGAGCATAACTTAAGTTCCATTTGGCCAACAGTGTTCAAACTTCATAGGATAAGTATCCATATTGGGTAAAAGTCCCCTATTGATTTTGGGGTCACAAGGTCAAAGGTCAAGGTCACTATTACTTTAAAGCTGAAAACAGTTTCCGGAGCATAACTTAAGTTCCATATGGCCCACAGTGTTCAAACTTCATAGCATTATGGTCCATATTGAGTAGAAGACTCCTGTTGATTTTGGAGTCAAAAGGTCAAAGGTCAAGGACATTATTACTTTCAAACTTTAAACACTTCCGGAACATAACTTAAGTTCCATTTGGCCCACAGTGTTCAAACTTCATAGGATGATTGTCCATATTGGGTAGAACACCCCTATTGATTTTGGCATCCCAGGGTTAAAGGACAAGCTCACTGTTTTCTTAAAACTGAAAACAGTTTCCAGAGCATAACTTATGTTCCATTTGGTCCACAATATTCAAACTTCATAGGAGGATTGCTATTTGAAGGAGGTAATAGTTTATTTAATTCCCATGTCGTACAATTGCTTCATCCTTACTAAAAACACACTTTCTGGCATATAATGCTCTGCCTAGCGATGCTCTTGTTATATTTGATGGGACTGAAAGTGCATTGAATGTTCTAATTCTTTCATCTTTGTTAACAGTTATGTTGCCCCAAATGTAAATGTCCCCTTACCCGAATGTTGAAATTGCATTATTTGAAATGATGTAATAATCAAATATCAATTGTAATGTTTTATTTTGATACAAGTATATTTTCACCATTAATGTAAAATTTCACCATTTTCTTGTTAAATGTTGAATTCTGCTTAAGCCGGTGCTAGGGGGCGTGGACGGTAACTTGCACTTTCCAGTACCGTCCATGAACAGGCTCAATCAAACCGAGCCTGCAACATTTTCAATTTTGGCGTGTTGGACTTTCTTTAGGGGTTCTGTTTTTCTCTATTCTATATGTATAAGTAAAGAGTCCAATATAAATAAAGGGGAAACTTAATGTGTCCTATTTCGTCCACAAACTTCTGTTTCATTAACCTACAAGATTTTTGCAGATGGAAGTTACATGTATATGATATACCAAGCACTACGTTTATTAAAAAACTTTTTTACAGTACACAATATTTTTGTTATTTTTGTTAAATAAATAATATTTTCAAAAATGTCATTAAAACGTTATACATTTTTTTTTGCTATTCTGCATTTTAGCAATTTCTAGTAGTATTGTAATTGATAAGCTGGTTGTCTTGTAAACAACCAGGTGCAGATGTAGATGCTGAGTGGAGGAACTTTTGTTAGCTTACTGGCATCAGGTTAATGATGTTAGTGTTAATAGTGTTTTCAAAACAAAACATGTGGCCAGTTATGTGGTTATGGTAACTCTCTTTAAATCAAGTTACCCTCAAGTAACCCTCTCCGCTCGGGGTTTAAATCTTGTCAAGGACTGTATATTATTTCACTTGAAGAATTTATCAACTTTGCTCATGACAGGTCAATGGTTTTACTCAGGTGATTGCTTCAGCCTGAGATTTTACATGGAGTTAACACCCGAACTCTCCTTTCACCTTTTAAGTAGGGATATTACTGAATTACATTACATTGTCTGTATAACTTAATACCCAACTGAATAACAAAACAAAACAAGACAAAGAATTGCAGGTTTATTTATAATTCCACAAATATCTTTATACGAATATCTTATATACATAGAATTATGTTTTCAGGTGAAGCTAATGAGATAGGCAATGCAAATCTTAGAATAAAGTTGTATGACGGTGAAACCAATCGCACAAAAGAAGACAAGGGCGATAGAAAGTCTGTGGAGGATAACACTAGGAAAAATAGTGCTGAAAATGTTACTGGTTCAAGGGAATCTACAAGTCAACAGAAAGGTTATTTTATTTCTAGGGCAGCTCCTGAAAGAATAGCATAATGCCGTAAATCTATATGTGCAACCCTATTTCTTATTAACTACTTAAGATTTTTGCTTAACTGCATAAATATTGCCACAGTTATTTTTAACTTACCACCGACTCAATCTCAAAATATGTTAGTTTGTTTGAATCTGAAATGACACCATAATCTACAGGTGAAACAGTTGTTGTATAATGACATTCATTAATTTAGGAGGAACAGCAAAGATATCCTTAGTTTACAACAAAAAACTACAAGAGGTCACTTTAAAATGAATGTAACTGTGATGTTATATATATTAGATATATATCAATAAAAATATGATTATATCTTTTTATTAACCTGGGATAATCCTGGTAATTAAATTTGAAAAAAGGCAGCCGTTCTGGTGGAATTTCAGGTGGATTCGGGTATGAATGATATATTGTAATCAAACTCGGTATATACATAAGGCTTATGTAATTACCTCGCTTTAGATTGATTTGTGGTCTATATGGCCACTGTCAAGGCAACTGTCCAAGTATCTAGTCTGTGATTATGGGATTTTTAGTTAAGAAACCATTTAAAGACATACTTAATTTCTCACAATAAAACTATGAAAAAAACTTGTGTTATGTTTTCTTTTGTTGTTTCATTTTGCGCTAGAAATTGGTATAAATGTCCAAATAATGGTTTTACTATTATTCCGTATTTAGTCTTAAATCAACACATACCATACATGATTTAATTCTCTGTGAGTTTTATATTGGTTACTTATAATACACATTAAAGCCTTAGGGAATAAGCCATGTTTTGACCTTTTTGTGGCTATTAATGGATTCGGTAAATAGTTGGAAAGTTTAAAAAAAAAACGTTTTGAGTAATTCCAATTAGACCTTGACTTTTTTATATTCATTTTATTAAATATTTTGGTAAGACAAAAACTGAGAGTATGGACCCGCTTGTTGTAGTTATTGTTAAGAACTTTCATAGCATTGCCATGTTTCTTCTTAATATATAAAATTTGATAATATGTAAAGCGCACAAATGGAATTGTCGAGTTAATTTTTAAAGTATATTATTTCTGATCTGTAAGATTTCAATTTAAATGTTATTTGTTTTTTTTTCTCTTTGTGTCATTACATTAACTGAACTAATACACCAACATGGTTTTCTTCATAATCCGTGGGGGCTACAAAAGCCTACAATCATGTGGTTTGTAGCATAAAGAGGGGGATATTAATCCAATAGATTTGATTGTTCAAATACGTTTTTGTTCAAAAACGTTTTGGTTCATCATTAGAGTGTCGTGCCAGGGGAATACTTGAGTCACTGGATCACCTTGTGCAAAGCAAAATTCATCCTAGATATTAAGTCTCAATGTCATTTGTTTCTCTAATATGAATAACTCATATACAAAGAATTGTGTTTTCAGATGAAGCTAATGAGATAGACAATGCAAATTCTAAAATAAAGTTGTATGTCGGTGAAATCAATCGCACAAAAGAAGACAAGGGTGATGGAAAGTCCATGGAGGATAGTGATAGTGCACCTGGATACAACACTAGGAAAAAGAGTGCTGAAAATGTTACTGGTTCAAGGGAACCTACAAGTCTACAGAAAGGTTATTTTATTTCTAGGGCAGCTCCTGAAAGAATAGCATAATGCCGTAAATCTATATGTGCAACCCTATTTCTTATTAACTATTATTAACTATGTTTTGTCACAGTTATTTTTAACTTACCACTACGATTGTTATCTTCTCAATCTGATAAAATGTTAGTTTGTTTGAATCTGAAATGACATCATTATCTACAGGTGAAACAGTTGTGGTGTAAAAACCATTCTTTTATTTAGGATGAACAGAAAAGATATCCTTAGGTTACAAAAAAATAGCTACAAGAGGTCACTTTAAAATGAATGTAACTGTAATGTTATATATTTTAGATATATATCAATACAAATATGGTTATATCTTTAATTAACAAGGGTTTATTTTGGAAAATCCTGGTTATTAAATTTGAAAAAAAGAACAGCTGGCGTTCTGGCGAAAATACAGGTGGATTCCGGTATGAATGAGATATTGTAATCAAACTTGGTATACACATAAGGCTTATGTAATTACCTCGCTTGAGATTGCTTTGTGGTCTTTATATGGCCACAGTCAAGGCGACTGTCTGAGTATCTATTCTGTGATTATGGGGTTTTTCCCCAGATTAGTTAAGAAACCATTTAAAGACATACTAAATTTCTCACAATAAAACTACGAAAAAACTTTTTGTTAATATGTTTTCTTTTGTTGTTTCATTTAGCGCTAGAAATTGGTATAAATGTCCAAATTATGGTATTACTATTATATAATTATGTATTTAGTCTTAAATCAACACATACCATACATAATTTAGTTTTCTGTGAGTTTTATATTGGTTACTTATAATACACATTAAAGCTTTAGGGAATAAGGCATGTGGTTTTTGACCTTTTTGTGGCTATTAATGGATTCGGTTAATAGTTAGACAGTTTAAAAAACCGTTTTGAGTAATTCCAATTAGACCTTGACTTTTTTATATTCACCTTATTGAGCATTTTGGTAAGACAAAAAACTGAGAGTATGAACCCGCTGGTAGTGGCTATTGTTAAGAACTTGGCTTCATAGCATTGCCATGTTTTTTCTTGATGTATAAAATGTGAAAATATATGTAAAGCTCACAAGTGTAATTGTCGAGTTAAATTTTAAAGTATATTCTTCCTGATCTCAGATTTCAATTAAATTTTTTTTTTCTCTTTGTGTTATTACATGAACTGAACTAATACACCAAATTAGTTCCCTTGATAATCCTTTAGGACTTCAGTCATGTGGTTTGTATCATACAGAGGGGGATATCAATCCAATAGACTTGCTTATTCAAATACGTTTTGATTCACAATAAGAGTGTCGTGCCAGAGGAAATACTTGAGTCACTGGATCACCTTGTGCAAAGCAAAATTCCTGCTAGATATTAAGTTTAATGGTCATTTGTTTCTCACTGCTTATTCATAATTCATGTACGATAAGTGGTCAATCACTTGCAGGGACTTTTGTAATTACTGGTTAGATATCTAGGAAAACCAGTAAGCTGGACCAATGGCTGATTCATGATAAAATTGGCATAAAGGCCAGAAATACAAGCGAAAGGCTAGTAAAGGAAACATAATCATAAAAACATCTTTGTCTCATAGTTGATATTAATTGATTCAGTCACTTCAATCACTTATCAGTTTATGTCTTTCAAATTTGAATCATAAGTTAGTATCACATTAAGAGTAGGAGATTTTACTGGCATCTATTTATTTTTTCAGGTGATTATATGATATCAGTGATAGGTTTACAACAGTTACACGGACAGTGGAATATGTCGGATCAGCTGTTACAACAACTTGATGTAACGAAAGAAGATGTGGTGGACAAATTAACATTTTCTAAGGTAGAAATATTGGTTACTTTAATTGCTACAAAATGCTAAGTACAAGGACATGATCACCTCTTAAACCTGTTCTAGATTTTTGTCTTGCTGATGTGTTAAACTGTTGTATGTGGATGATGAAACTTTGGTGATTAAAAAAAAATTATGTCATTGACTCTTTTATATGTTTTTCCAGAATTCTGATTTTGTTCTTAACATAATTGATAAAATAATAAATTTAATGGATTCTAACTTTATTTTCATAGGATTCTAGTGTTGTTTGTACAGTGTTGGTTCTTGCTTGGTTACGTAAACAGTTTTCACAAAGACAAGAGGAGTGGCAGATGATAGAAGCAAAAGCACTTGCCTGGATATCTACTCAAAGTCCTAGCTTTACAACAGAGGAACACATTAAACATACTAGAGAAGTGATGTGGACCAAGTAATGTTGTTCATACATGTAAATATAGTCATATGTATAGACAACTTACTATGAGTTGTTATTTCTAATCAACACTTATGAAAAAAGAAATGTACAACGCAAGCGTCTTGCAGGCTTAACGTTTGATTAATATGTATGAAATATGTGTTCTTTATTATCTTAGAATGCCAGAATACAAGTGAAAAAATATTTAAGGGATGCAAATGTATTTTTATTATTTGTTACTGTATACATCGTACATGAATAATGTCATCTGAATTTATTTGCACCTTTAATATGATTATCTATAGCATTTTATAAAACTTATATTATTATAATTCCATGCGTAAGCATCGTTTGAAGGGAAACTTTTTATTTAATTATTTGTATGTAGTTTGTTACGTCTATAAAGGGGAGAATTCTTATTTTCCACCCGGTTTTGCTTGGGTAGCGTCGTGTTTTTCGCTACAGCTATGCAACGTATATGTAATTTAATGAGACAATTTTACCATGCAACTTTGCATTTAGTTCATTTTACCATGTGATACTAAGATATTTTTCAAACCATGTGCGAATCGACTTTATCCTGTGATATGATGTCTAAATCAATTTGAAAAAGCGACATATCATGTGCACACCGTTGGCATTTCTCATAAATCATATTTTTATTGATTCTTAAGTTACTCTTATTTCATTGTTTAGATGCTGAATATTAATATTACGTGATTTGTTTTAGTATCTTTACAAAAATACAATCTGTTAGAAAAAAAACTTAAATAGACATATTGTTTGTGATTCATTTTTGCGCTGTTTTTGCCTTTACATGAAATTTTGTAAAAATGTAAAATTTCGTGAATATTTTTAGGATCCTGTCATTTAGGTTGGAGATTATTTAATTTTGATTTGATGATGAAAATTTTGTAATATCTTGTATCTATGAATTTTTCTTCATATATGCAATGAGCCTATGTTTATGTAAATCTTATGCTAGAAAGTCTTTCATGTAAATATTTCTAATGTATTCTACGTGTATTACTGTCCATGTCCGCTCTGTTAATCCTGTATTTTGTGAAAAAATCTACATTTTGTTTAAAAATATATATAAACAGGGCCATGTTATTAACATTTGACAAACTTGTGCTGGCTCAAGTTTAAGATAATACTTACAGTTTAAATGTCAGAGTGTCAATTGTCAGTTTGCTATTTTGTGTCTGCTCTGTGAATTTCTATGAATTTTATTCCTCTTTAAGAATTTTCATGAAACTGGGCTCAGATATTTCCTCCTAAATGGCAATTTACATAACTCATAATGCAGATATGGTAACTTAAGGTCAAGGTCACATGTTTAGGTCAAATGTTTACATGAACAACATGATGTGCTTAACCTATGCTGCCAAAATGCTACCTTTTTGGTCAAAGTCATACTTGAATGCCAATTGTAATTCAATTTTGTGTCCACTCTAAAAAAATTGACTGTTGAATTTCTTAAAAATTGGCGTAAATGGGCTAAATAAATAAGGTTTTAGATGTTTCACTTTTACTTTGGAAAGAAACACAATTTTCTCTCGCATTTCAATGTACTAGAGAGGCACTAGACTCCTGTTTAAGGCCTGGTTCACACCTAGACTGCTCTGCTTTTTTCCACTGCGTTTGCACTGGCGATTGTAAATAATTAAAAGCGCCGCGAGATGCAATTGAAAAATGTGATGATTTTTTGTATGACTATGAAACTCATGGAGAACATCACGGCATTCGTCCCTGGCGTTTATGGCGAATGCCTACAGCTTTAACGGTGCGTTTTAATTGCTACGCATTGTTCCTCCGTTCGGATCGCGCTTCTAACAACCGTTCTTTGCGCTTTTACGGCGCTTTCATCGCGCGCTCTCCGCGGCGTTCACACTGCGCTGAAATCGTAAAAGCTCTTCTAAAAGCGTTTGTTTTGAGCACTGCTCTTCAAAAAATTGTGCGCGCCGCGACCGGCGTTAACATAACCCCTGTCACACTTAGGGCCCGGAGCCGTGTTCACGGCGTCAATGAATTTTCCAGAACGCCGGGAAGGTGAGCGCAGAAAGATCGTCAGTAAACCATACGCCTTGTCATCGCCGTAGATCGTCCCATAGTTGGCTAGTCGCATACAAACGGCCGAGTACGCGATTCAGGCCGCGCATTATTGAGCTATGTCTCAAATATACGATATACGACCCGTCACTCGGCGTTCTAAAGTTGAGCTCATTGAGATTCGCGCCGCGTAGCAAGACGCTCCGTACAGCAACTCAGTAATCATCTCCTATACTATATCGCAACATGTGTAGCTTGCTCCTCGTGAAAGTGTCGCAAAAAGGAAGCGGCCGAAATTAACACAGGGTGTCGGATTTATCCACGCGGACAGGCTTGTTACAAGTATTTGTCGGTTCACTTACACGGCTGCTCTATACCTGCGTCCGCATACGGCTCGCTTCATACAGAGGCTTTACTATTTCAGTCCAGAGTGTGAATGCGCGTTTAGCGGACGCGTATAGCGCTCCTGTATAAAGCGCAGTATAATAGCTCATAAAGAAAACGTTCGAGTAGAAGCGCAGATCTAGAAACGAAGACAAATTTCGTCATATAAATACGCTCGTGGCAGCTCACGTGTAGCTTTATCAGCCATTGATTGCCACTGGGGACGCTCGTGTGAAGACTCTCCATGGAAGTCTTCATGTCATCAAAAATATTATAAGATATATTTCCATATGCGATTCTCGCGGCAGCTTTGTTTATAAATTTTTACAACTCCGTGCAAAACGCAGTGCAAAGCGCTGATCGGTTGTGACAGGGCCTTTATATGCGTGCCATACGATGCTACCGGCGTCGCGTATGCCCAGCCCGGCTCCGATGTTGCGGCGTTCTTACTAGCGATTCCACCCTCGGACTTCACGTGTATCTAAAATTTCAATGAGGACGCTCGTTGTGAACGCCGTCTAAATATGTGGACATGGGGTTCATTACCTTTAATTTCAAACTCAAACCTTTATTCAAATGAATTTTACAATAAAGGAAAATTAAATAAGAAAATTATGTAATATATCTACATAAGTTTTTGTAATTATTACCATCAACTTACATAGGAATATTTAGTGTTGTTTAGAATAAGCATGTTTCAGTAAACATTCATGTAAGTCATCAATCAGTTAAATAGACTGTGGTAATTTTTTGAACTTATAATACAAGTATTTTTCTTATAGTTTTAGAAATAACATTGTTTGATATGTACTTGTTTTGTTCTTTATGATATTTATGTGCAAATAAAAGGAGTTTAAAGTTTTATGCTGCGCTATTTATAAATCATAAGTTGATCTCTTTGTTTTATATTGTATGTTTATTAACCTTAATCTGAAACTGAGATTTACAAGGATGTATAAGATCTGTGTAAATAATATTGTCAGAATTTTCTATCTATCAATTATTAAATCCATGAATTATTTTGATAGGAACTGGTGTGGTCTTGTACAATTGCTGTACTCTCTCAATACATATTATACAATTCCCAAAACGTTCAATGGCCATGCATATGTCAAAAAGGATGTGAAATGAGCAATTAGCCCTCACTCCAAAACACGGGTAATAGGGCGTTTACAACAACTTTTGCACTTTGAAAGCCCTCTTCATCGAAAATAACGTGCGGAAAATTAATTAAATAAAGGGTGTGCAGATATAAAGCACTACAACCCCCTCTATTATTAAATAATATGTTCCTTATGAAAATAAGTAGACTTACTTTCATGTGTTACTTTCTCTGTCATAACACTAACCTAGTAGCCCCAGGAATCTTGTTTCATTGCATTTCATTTTACATGGGATTCTTTTTGTTCATTGTGCGTCGGCTTTCTTTGTTTCAAATCTCTCGAGTCTGAAAATAAGAGGTAAAGAGTAATACTTTGGACAATAGTTCGGATTTTTTGTATAGATTTGTTATTTCGTGTGGTATCTTAAATTGATTTAATGAATGTTTAGAGACATTTTCAATCGTAGATTGTACCTAAAATATACTTTTAATATAGTTCTCTAAATGTCAAATGCAGTGCATTTCGCTAAATCTAAATACTATTATCTAAGTATTATTAAAGTCTCTGTTTTTATATTACATTTCTTTAAATACCAACGTGGTAGGTACTAACGATGGTATTTTAAAAATTTAGCCTCGGCGTGTAAAATTTAGTCATTCACAAATTGTAAGTGTTCGTATATACCCGTTACCAAATTTATTCTTCTGAAACTCTTGTGAATATTTACAACTGATTGTGCCATGAAAGGAAGTCATAATTACATCTGTATTAAACGAACATTTACACTATATTTATTATAATTCTAATTAATATTTTTCGTCAAGATGAGTTTTCATCAAATAATGATAACGATGACATACAGTACAGAGAAAAGGAAGATATCATTTTACCGGATTAGTCAGATCAGAAGGACCGCCCGAGTTAGTTTATTTAATAATATTTCTAGATAAGCTGTCCGGGTTTTTCCTTCCTTCTGGTGATCCCGAAGGGTCAATGAATTAAATTTTCCAAAATCTTCCACCGGATTGGAAAGTTTTTTTTGGTCAATATTCGGCTGCCGTCCTCGGGCAAGATATTTTTCTGTGTCCTAATAAAGTATTTTTAACCCTCTTATCATATAAAATAAAATAAAATCAAATTAAAACCATCCGATAATAATAGACATCTTAAAAATCTCTCGTCTCCAAAAAATCTCATTGGAATAGAGTTTTAATAATATATATGTGTTAGACAAAACTTCGTTTCAATTGACAATGACTTGTTACAAAAAGTAGATATATGCATGTGTGACAAAATGGCAGCAGTTGTTCTCGACCCTAAAATTTTATCTACTGGAGTATAGCGGGGCAAAAGTGACTTAAAATCAGTATTCTAACCAGCCCTGCAGCTTTTTGTACACTTTTGTCCGTTTATTTTTTATCTCATCTGAACTGTTAGGTTAAGCCCAAATATATATAGAATTAAGTATCTGTTTACTCTCTCTACATTGGTTTAAATGTCAAATTGTTAAGACTATACACATGTTTTATTGATCCATGCGAATATTTTTATATATCTTTTTTTTTTGTTGGGGGGAATTACAATTTAGTTTATGTTTAGGGGAAGGGCACTCTCGGAG